TTACATGCTAATCTCTCACATGAACATCATGCTAATCTCTCACATTAACATCATGCTAATCTCTCACATTAACATCATGCTAATCTCTCACATTAACATTATGCTAATCTATCACATTAACATCATGCTAATCTCTCACATTAACATCATGCTAATCTATCACATTAACATCATGCTAATCTCTCACATTAACATTATGCTAATCTATCACATTAACATCATGCTAATCTCTCACATTAACATCATGCTAATCTCTCACATTAACATCATGTTCATCTCTCACATTAACATGCTAATCTCTAGCCCCGGCCACTTCTTTATGACCCTTGGGCTACACCCATTTCAAACCTTTTTCAAACAGTCTGCCTTAGCAGCAGACCATGCTTTCCCACCTGGTGACGGACGCTTGGGTTGTGCCCGAAACGTCGTGATCTATTTTATTTTTCTACCCACGTGACTTTACCGAAAGAACCAAAGAGTATGGATTCCTGCAGTCATGAAATCTTCAAATCAAGATTCTTGGGCAAGTTTATTAAAATCCCCCGATCGACAGGCCCCATGTGATGGGGGCACTGTGTGGGTACTTCCACCTCTTCCAAGCGTGGAAGAGTAGGCCAAATTACCCTCGAGAAGGATATTCAAGATATCCGTCGAGTTAAAGCCCTTCTGCCAGCAGTGGCTTGAGGAAGTGATTGCAGGGCTGTGCCTTTGTGTTTGTGATATTATTTGTAGAACTTAGAGGATCCAATAGTTCCATCTCCTAAGGCAGGGGTGTCCAAACTTTTTGCAAAGAGGGCCACATTTGATAAAGTGAAGATGCCCGGGGGCCAATAGATCATTTTGACATTGTTTTAACCACAAAAGTTACGTGGAAATACAGTTATAAAACAATTTTCATTGTCACAATTACCTTTATTTTTCAAATGATAATATAACCAAATATAAGCCACTCAGGCAGACGTGAACAACTCTACAAACGCAATTCTGCCTTTCAATCAGTCAGATAACATTGAACAAACTGTATAGAATACCTTAAATTTCCATGAGTTTTATGATGTATTTATTCTGACAGAGCTAGCGAGCCATCAATAACACATTATAAGACCGAAGCTGCCGTATGAAATCTGACCGCGGGTCGTGATTGGCCCGCGGGCCGGACTTCGGACATGCCTGTCCTAAGGAGTATGCAGCGTTGTCGCTTTACGAGAGCGCACGAGCCGGTTGGGACACACAGGGTGTGTTTGTTGAGCAAGAAAAGAGCATTGAACATGATTCATAAGGATGTGACTGAGTACATAAATAATCGCCCATGGGCGAGGTCAGGCCACCCACTAACTATAGCCCGGCCACCTCACCATCTGACCATGCACACGTTTCGACAACAACACAAAAAAACAGGGGATTAAAACTAGTCTTGTAACATTTGGCAACAAAACTGACACCTTTTTACAAGGAGTCATGTTTGCATAGACCGCAATACCTGCAGTCATAATACAAACAAAAGACATAACTCTGATAATGTGCACTGTCCTTGAAGTTGATTGGTCCACACCCGAGACAGCTTCAAGGACAGTGCACATTATCAGAGTTATGTCTTTTGTTTGCATTATGACTGCAGGTATTGCGGTCTATGCAAACATGACTCCTTGTAAAAAGGTCTCAGTTTTGCAGAGGTGTGGACTCGAGTCATGTGACTTGGACTCGAGTCAGACTCGAGTCATGAATTTGATGACTTGAGACTCGACTTGGACTTGCATAACAATGACTTTGTCCCACCTCTGAGGTGTGGACTCGAGTCATGTGACTTGGACTCGAGTCAGACTCGAGTCATGAATTTGATGACTTGAGACTCGACTTGGACTTGCATAACAATGACTTTGTCCCACCTCTGCAGTTTTGTTTCCAGATAGAAAGGTAAAAAAACAATTATCATATTTTTACTTGCAAATGAGGTTCCCATAGTGTAGTCTTGTAACATTTAACCTAAATACAAACTTGCTTTTTGTGTTTATTTTGTCGTCCTTCGCCGCACCTATTAGCACGTGCGAAAAGAGTTCAAATACATAAGTAATTCTTGTAAATATGTATACATTTGTATTCACTAAGTCGGTAAAGGTGCAGCCCTGCAATTTACTTGCTTAAGACAATGCTGGCCAGTGCGAAAGCGCTGTTATTTATTTATTTAAAGACAGTTATTTTCTTTATTTTCCTACTTGATCCAAGAAAGCCACACTGAGTCGTAAGATTGTCTTTTTTTCAGGAGGGTCCTGCATTGGGTTTTAATTTTTCAAAGTGTTCAGACAATGAATGAATGACGAGTGTTTGTACAAGTGCAGGAAACCGGGGGACCCGGAGGAAACCCACGCGTGAAAAGGGAGCAACGCTCTATCCCCGTACGGATGGAAACAGATGGCGCATAGGCCACTTGCTGTACTGCCTTCTGGCAGGGTCAGGGTTATGACACCTCGACACCCACGCGAAGAGAGTTTCACATCGTGTGTGCGTTCCATCAACCCTCGCTGCCTCCACGGTGCCGGATTACCAGCGAGCGTCATCACCCCTCCAGAGGGGTTCTCTACGGCTCCTTCTAGTGACAGGATATCAACGTTTCGTGATTATCAAATCTAATTTACCCATGTGCCCTAAACAAGATGCGTGAGACCTCGCACACTGTGTTTGTACAGTGTCAGATATCTTCTTGGTTCTTTCGGTAAAGTCACGTAGAATGGAAATAATAAAATAATAAAAATACAACTTAATAAAAATCATTCTCACGACGTTTCGGCCACAACGCAAGCAGCCGTCCTCAGGTGGAGAACAGTTCTGTCGAGAAGAGAGTCAGATATGCGCTGGCTAATGGCCATAAATTTAATCTCTCGCGGTGAAGAATTCGTACAGATTATGTTACTTCATCTCTGCGTTGCATTCTTATTTGGCAATGCTGTGCCAGGTTCAGATTCTCGTTGAACTTGTCATAAGTTTCGCAATTTTATCTATATAGTTCACAGTTGTATAAGGGAGGGTAGCAGTGTGATTATCACGGCCCACTGTGAACTCGGCGACCCAAATTCAATTCCCGGGTGATATCCAAGCCAGTCCTGGACTTTCACGTATGGGCCAAACAACCCATATGGCTGTCATGGCTAAGGGGGGAGGCCTTTATCCAGCAGTGAATTTGCAAGAAGCCATGTAAACCAGGACTGTATAAATGTATTTTTCCTACAAGCATTGTGTTGGTCAGTGGGGTGGTAGTTATCTTAATAGCAATACACATTGTAGGTGCATAGTAGATATATTTAAAGCAATATACATTGTAGGTGCATAGTAGATATCATTACAGCAATACACATTGTAGGTGCATAGTAGATATCATTACAGGAATATGCATTGTAGGTGCAGAGTAGATACCTTTACAAGAGCAATATACATTGTAGGTGCCATCAAACCCTAGCTTTAGAAGGCCAGTGTACTCTTATGGTGCTGTGTTGCGTATTTTGTTGCGTACACACTTTTTGTGACGTCGCAAAGTTCTTTCCATGTCGGTTGTACAAAGAGCCTATGAATTCTAAGTCAGTGGAGTGTTAAACCGAGAGCTTTCTCTGTGGTTGTGCATTGTGTTTTTTACGCATAAATAACCTGTATCTCATCATTAGTATTACTATCACGCTCGTTTACCCAGTGGAGTCTCGCTGAGTCACAAGAAACCTTTTCAGGAGAGCCCTGCCTGCCGAGTTTTCAGCCGCAGGCAATGTTGCCGTGTCTTGCTACGTGTCATCCGAGTGCCAGTACGGTAATTTGCAGGTAATTTTCAGTGTTAGGATGTTTGGCCAATACCAGTTAATCTTGTGCGGTTTTTATTTTCGCCTAACACTGTACCGCAACTACTTTATGGGTCCTGATGCATAGAAATCAATGCGTTACGGTGTCTCACGCTACGCTCATTCAATATAGAGTAAAACCTTGGATTGCGAGTAACTTGGTCTGCGAGTGTTTAGCAAGACGAGCAAATTTTTTAATAAATATTAATTTGATAAACGAGCGAAGTCTTGCAATACGAGTAGTACGTGTCTACGCTTTGTCTGCCGAGCGTCACGTGATCACAACTGATATAAAAGTGCGAGTGCTTTGGATTACAAACACTTTTCCGGAACGAATTATGCTCGCAATCCAAGGTTTTACTGTAATTCGTCTCGTTTTGCATTCCTGACAATAGTAGAATCACCCAGAATGCACTCGATCTCATCAGGTCTCAGATGAGAAGATCGAGCCTGGATAGTGCTTGGATGGGCAAGCGCCATGCATAATAGGTGCTATGGGCTGTGGGACAATGTTTTGGGCAGCTTAGGAGAGTGCAACAAAGAGTCATTCGTGTCCTGAGCTTTTATTCAACACACATCTCTGCTCCCCCACCTTGATCAAGCCCACACTGACTTGCGTGGTGAAGTATGGCCAGTAACCTCCACAATCCGCACGGCGGGGGCAGACCCTCGTTCAGCAGCGGGGTGCCAAAAGCGCTGCATTTGTGTGTGTGTACACGTTTGTATGTGCGTGCGTGTGTACACGTTTGTATGTGTGTGCGTGTGTACACGTTTGTATGTGAGTGTAGACGTTTGTATGTGTGTGCGCGTGTACACTTTGTATGTGCGTGCGTGTGTACACGTTTATATGTGCTTGCGTGTGTACACGTATGTATGTGTGTGCGTGTGTACACGTTTGCATGTGTGTGCGTGTGCACACGTTTGTATGTGTGTGCGTGTGTACACGTTTGTATGTGTGTGCGTGTGTACACGTTTGTATGTGTGTGCGTGTGTACACGTTTGTATGTGAGTGTACACGTTTGCATGTGTGTGCGTGTGTACACGTTTGTATGTGCGTGCGTGTGTACACGTTTGTATGTGCCTGGACACGTTTGCACCACAACTTGTTCAGGCACTGGGCATCACACGTGTGGTTTCACTGGGTAAACATTAACTGTGTTCTCTGTTTTCACTCCCTCGCAGCAGTGCGGTGACGCAGGATGGAGGGTCAACAGGACGTGAGCAGCTGGGGCACAAAGGAGGTGGGTGTTTTTATTTTAGTCGACGATGACCGCAACTATAATGAAAATACAATTCTCACGACGTTTCGGCCACAACGCAAGCAGCCGTCCTCACCTGAGAACGCAAGCAGCTGTCCTCATCTGAGGGCGGCTGCTTGCGTTGTGGCCGAAACGTCGTGAGAATTGTATTTTATTATGTTTTATTATTATTTTATTATTTCCCTTCTACGTGACTTTACCGAAAGAACCAAGAAGATGAATCCCTGCAGTCACGAAAGCTTTAGATCGAAATTCATGTTGAGCTTCTTTCGCACCGTACGTAGCCACCTGTGCTAACCGCAGGTGCCACGACTACGACTGCCCGCCAAAGACCAAAGCGTGACTGACTACTGTGGCGAAGGCGAAATGACTAGCAGTGCTAGTAATAATAACAATACTCCTTTGTCAAGGCGCTCTGCTCTTCCCACCCAGCTTAAAATACGCTGCCAAACTTAGCAGTGTTCATTAGGACGCCGTCTTTCCGACAGCTCTGTTCTTCACCTGAGGACGGCTGCTTGTGTTGTGGCCGAAACGTCGTGAGAATTTTATCATGTTTTATTATTATTATTTCCCTTCTACGTGACTTTACCGAAAGATCCAAGAATATGAATAACAATACTAGTAATAATACTATAATAGTGGTCATAATAACAATAAGTCCGATCTTCATCGCGCGCTCGTTATTCGTGCAGCGAGTCGCTGCGCGTAATCGCCGTGCTGCGTGTGCGAGGTTGGGCGTCGCACGCCATCGCCGTGCCGTGTGCGTCGCACGGACTCGTGGCGTCGCCGCCTGTGACCGCCACCGCCGCCGCCATGTGCTCCTTCGCGCGTCTCCACCAGGTGGGCACGTGGCTGCACAAAGAGGGCATGGGCGAGCTCTCGGAGCTGCTGAGCGACGTCCATCGCCTCGACGGGCCGGGGTTGCTGAGCCTCACGCAGGCCGAGCTGCTGTCGCCCCCCATCTGCATGAAGGTGTTGGGCGACGCTAAGAGGCTGATACGAGCCGTCACGTCGCTGCGTGCCGCCACGCGTGGTACGTGCGACGCGGCGTTGCCGCGCATTTACTCGTCACCGTTGGCTCGTTCGTTGGCAGCGGCGTGGAGGGAGAGCCCTGAGACCGCTGTTGAGTCTGGTCGGGGGGCGAAATCCACGCTGGGCACGTCCGCGGAGTGGGTTGTGGTCACATCGGCCCCAGTCGTAGAGGGATGTCGGCTGAACGTGGACCCTGGCCTGGTTGGAAATCCGTTGCGAGAAGAGCCTGTGACCGCCGTGGAAGGCGAACCGTGGGGTCGACAATGAGAACGTGGTTCTTAATGTCGTCAGCCGTTTAATCCACCTTTCTACATTCACGTTTTACCTTGGGATGAGGATAATGATGCGTGGTTTTGCCACGTTGAAAAAAATTCACAACGGTCAGCGGAGTGAAGTTCGATCAAACAACCCCCAAGAAGGCCTTGCGAAAACTTCACTTGGACTTCATCCAACAGTTGATTGACAACGGGCTGTGAATTTGGAATTTTTATTATTTCTGGAGGGCTATTGTGACATTGCGAAAAAGTTTCGCTTGCGTGGCGGACATATATTTGTCAAGGTTGTCACTGATGAAACCTCAACACTACAGCTATCAATGTGCGTTGGAGTTTATATATATTTTTTTATAATAAATGATATGCACGGACAAGGCAACACATTTGACGAATACATTTTCACAGCTGCTTTTAATCCCAAGTGTGGATTTCCAGGTGGGGGCTGCACTGCTGTCGACATCTTCATAAGTTTCATTCAATTTCAGTATAAACATTAAGAAACATCCGGGCGTGTGTTCCCTTCCTGGAGTAGTTTTCTGGGCGTCTTCGGGAGTTGAATTCAACTCCCGAAGACGCTTCAGAGTAAAAATGCTCAACACGCAGCTAAATCCAGAAAAAACATCATTTGGAAGGGAACACGTGTCCTCATGGGTGTTGTTATTTGCTATTATTTGTATTTTTTTATATTTCTAGCCCGGTGACGTATTCTACTTCTGTACAGTCAGGAAAACCTCACGGGTATTTGACTTTGTGCGTGCTCTTACCAGGATGGCTCACGTGTTTTTTGTAGGAACGTCGTAAACAAACCTGGCGTAAGGATCACAAATCAAAACAAAACATCGCCGGCTTCGTTAACGACATTGCCCTCTAACAAAACATACGCGGGCGATCACGAGTGCCGCCTGGCCTTAAGAGCAGGGAGCTGCTGCTTCTGCTGCTGCCACTCGCTGTTCTGTCGGTTAATTAAACAAGACTAATTGTACGACAGAATGCCTAGCTTGGCCCATTCACGCTAGAACGCTGTATATGCATTTGCTAGGGGTCCCCATGGCACAAACAACACACAAACCAATGCATTCATCAATAGCATTGCCTTAATAGTGAAAAATATGTATAGAATGGATGCTGTATCGTGCAATGACCCGTTTTCCTAAGCAGAGAGACAAAGAGGCTGGAGAGTTTGAACAGTGGTTGGAGACTGCTACGCTATCCACCCCATGCAGTCGCCAACTATTATTCACTTCTCTGTATCTCTGTGATATGAAGGAGGGCCATTGTCCAGAGCATCACCTATTACACAAAAATACGTTTTACTGGTAGGAACCTCCTGGTTACACCAGCCCACAGGGGATTATTGTGTCCGTCGTGCAGGGAGGGGCTGGGTGGGGAGGGGAGAGTGGGGAGGGGCTGGGTGGCGAGGGTGGGGCTGGGTGGGGAGGGGAGGGTGGGGAGGGGCTGGGTGGGGAGGGTGGGGCTGGGTGGGGAGAGTGGGGAGGGGCTGGGTGGGGAGGGGCTGGGTGGGGAGGATGGGGCTGGGTGGGGCTGGGTGGGGAGGGGCTGGTCACCCCGTGGTGCCCTTATCAAACTCAACGTTTAACCTACTCACGCCGGCTTGTGCCTGCCCTCACAGTCGGGCATATTTGCGGAATACACCACGCCGCCGTTGACCCTGGCCATTGACCGAGCAACCCAACGTTCCTACCAGCTCCCTCCGCAGGAGGAATGTGTTCATGATTGCACCAATGTCATTGGCGAATGTGTTGAGTGTTTGTTGGCTGTGCTTGTGCGCCACTGCCAAGACGGCATAACTTTTATTTTGTTTAACTCCAAATTGGTGAATGATCGGTAGGGCGGTGCTTTTGTGAGGTTTGGGGGGTGAGAGCCGTTTGAGGGCTTGGTGACACGAATACGCAGCACGCGTGCGTGGTGGTGGTGGTGCCAGGGGCACCTGACCACAGCTCGCGCAGTCCTCACCGTTGCATCCCGAAGTGACTTGCCACTACATGGAGGCTCCATTTTGCAATCCGAGCAACGGTATTGATCGTCCTTTATTTTCACAGCCCTTTCTTCGCTGAGTCTCACGACTCTTTCTTCAGGAGGGACTTTTAATTATTGCTGTGAATCTTCCAATTGAGTGATTTGCGGGGCGATACATTTTGTTTTGCAAATTCGGACCGTGATGCCAGCACGCAGTGCCCTCACTCTCATTAATTAACGGCAATTGCGACACGAAGGAATGTTACGGTTAATGCGCCCGCAGTATTAACCAGGGCGGCCGCTGGAATCGAACCGTGAAGCTCTGCAAGAGGGGGGTTGAATGCACAACTGCTCGCGCTCCAAATCTATCTACACGCATATGTCAACAGCCGACTTGCTGTGGCAGGCAGGCACGCAGCGCACACGGTGATGGTGATGTGTCCGTTATGCAATAGAACATCATGTGGATTGCACTTGAACCCTGCATTGCAGCTGTGAGCCAGGATAGTACCATTCACGGTAAGCTCAGTTAGTTACTGTCTAATTGCCATGTATGTTTGTAATTGTGTACAGGAAGCTATGAGTTGGAAGGCCCATGCAGCTCGTATGGCCAATGTTGCTGTTTTCACTTCCACGAGCACCAGTTGCTCTCATCAGATCAAGGTTATGGTGCAAGGTCGCAGCAGCAGCATATGCAGCAGATGGCGGAGAGAGGGAATGATCATCGCTACACCAATGGTTCGTATTTAAAAAATCTCCTAAAGTTGTATTCCGATTGCGCTATGGACTGTCATGTCGTGAGATGAAGGATCCACTCGGATCTCTAGAGGAGCAGTGGAACCATTCGCATTTGAGAATGGCTCATGGAAGTGAATGTGACAGAACTACATCTGAGATCCCTTCCAGTAGGGGGCAGCACTTTCCCACCCACCCACCTGCAGAGAGTAATGTTCGTCGCATGACAAATATTTTAAAATTCTCAGAGCTCGAATTTACTCAAATTAACATGCAGAGCCATATTTAATATGGTGGATTGTTTTGCGCGCAGTCGTTGATGACCTGGCTGAGACTATGAACTCAGTACTTTTGAAAACCCATGCAATGGTTGGTCTATAACTTCTACTGCACGAATATAGCTCTCCTTGGCTGCATTAAAAGTTCAGACGTCACGTCTCTAAAGCGCAATATAACTGCCGGGCTTACGGTGCGAGTTTAAACAGAGCCGGCGTTTGCGTGGCACCCGTGCCGCTCATTAACCCCGTCTCCGGCTCCTCCGCAGGCGTGCCGTATCGCAGAATCGCGCTGCGCGCGCACCAACCAGCCGGCGTGCAGTCGAGCCTGCAGAACGCGCCGCCTGCAGCGCCGGCTGGCGGGGCGCGGGGGGGCGGCGGCGGGCAGGGCAGAGGTCACGGCGGCGGGCGTAAGCTCGACCCCGAGTACTGGAAGACGCTCGTGAGCCTGGTGTACGTCGTGCTCGTGTTCGGGGCCACGGCCTTCGTCATGGTGATCGTGCACGACCGCGTGCCCGACATGGAAACCTACCCCCCCCTGCCCGACATCTTCCTTGACAAGTGAGGCAGTGCAGCAGTGCGGCATGCTGCTGGGTCGGGGTAACGAAAGCGATGGGCGAGAGTTACAAGGAAAAACGAAAAGGTGCATCCTTGCAATTTCTTGCTCCCGTCACTGCTGGCGGAAGGGTCTCTACTACAGGGAGATCTTGAGAGCCCTCTCTAAACGGCATTTGGCCTACTCTTCCACATAGGCCAGGCGTCTTGGAACGAGTGGGAGTTCCCATCGTCGCCCTAGCAACATGTGACCTGCCAGTCGACGAACTGTGGTGCACCCATTTATACAGCTGGGTGGACGGAGGTGGAGGGATTTGTGAAACGCTGTTTCAGCTGCCGCGCCGGGAGATCCAATCCACCCGGTGACCTGTGCATGGCAATTCCCGTGTGCTAGCCATGACACTGCCGCAGCATCCCTGGGTGGGGGGTGAGGTTATAATTACGTTTCTTTAAGCAAGGTTTTTTGTTGTTATAGATAGCATAGCTTGGAAATGTAATATACTTATTTTCATGATTAGCTGCAGATTTTGTCACGGCAGATGTGTGTTGAAATCTTCTTTGGCACCGTACGTAGTCAACCGTGCCAGTCGGAGGTGCGGGGGAAGGACAACAAACTAAACACAAAGAGCAGTTTAAAAGAAATTTGTTTTCAAATTCGATGTCTCAACGCACGATTGTGAAATTCCCAGACCCGTAATTAAAGGTTTGCTCTTCTGACCGATGTTGGGTCGGGGTGTAATATTTTAATGCAGATTTTGCAACAATTAATTTCGCAATACAGCGACGTCATGCACCTGTGTGGTCCGTTGTTTGCCGTGCTGATGGCAGTGCCGCTGTGCGTGTGTCTCAGCGTTCCACGGATCCCATGGGCCTTTGCCATGACCGAGGTGTGTGGCCTGATCCTCACCACCATCTGGAGCTCCGTTCTCGTGTTTCACAAGCACAGGTAAACGCATGACCATGTGCAGTTAATGTTTTCGGGCCAGCGCCTGCCCAGTATTAATCTTGGGGAGGGTTGTTAAGTAAGACTTTAAGCGCACGTCACTGCCGTACAGTTTAACCCGAGTCACCGTCATCACGAAGAAATAGGTGGAAGGCTGAAGAGATCAAATTAAGAAGTAAGAAAACATCCAGAAATTGGTTTGGAAATTTTTGTAAAATATAAGAGGGCACCAGCGACACGTGTGGTTAACGGAAGAGTCCAAGGGCACGAGTTCTCCCTTTGCATCACTCCACCACGTGGTGCAGCAATAACCTTTTCTAACTCTTTTGTAATTCAACTTTTTGAAAATACACCAAATATTGATTTTGATGAACGAGGCTATGGAGTCTCACCGAGCCAAACGTTGGCAACTGTTGAAAATTCCAGGAGAAGGGGGTGGAATGGCGCAAATCTGGCCTTTGTTTTTCATTCGCGCGCACGATTTTCTTCGATATAACTCCTGCTACTTATGCAGTGAATTAGACTCAGCCTTACATGAGTACCTAGTACTGTTTAGACGTCATCACTGGGGAGACAAAGATGGTCGGGCATGGTGCTAGCCACACCGCTCACGCGTGCGCCATTCTGGCCTTCATAGGTGCTGGATAATAAACTTATCAACTTTGTTCAAGGCTACACGGGGGAGCTTTGTCTCTGTGTGCGTGTGTGTGTGTGTCTGCTCAGGTCCATCCTGCTGAGGCGAATGTTCTCGCTGATAGGCACCGTGTTCCTGCTGCGCTGCGTCACCATGTTTGTGACATCGCTGTCGGTGCCGGGCGTGCACCTGCAGTGCTCGGGGAAGGTACGTGCTGCGTGCGCTGCTCCCTTGGTGACAGTGATCACCTACAAGCCCAATGTCGTGCTAGGGGGTTGGCCCCCATCCATAGCAGACGACGAAAAATCCCTGACCCGGGCAACTCGCACAAAACTGGCTCAACTCCGTTCAGGTTACTGCTGCTCCATGCTAGCCGATTACCAAAATCGAATCGACCCAAACGCCCCAAACTGTTGGCCCTTTGTGCCAAGCAACGCCAGAAGACGTCTCCCATTTTCTCAGTTGCCCAAAACGCGGGCCAAAAATTAAATCGATTGATCTCTGGCTAAACCCTTCCAAAGTGGCGACACAACGCCACCTACAAACAGAAAGTGCGAGGAAAACAGCAACAACAACAGCAGCCACCATGCCGCCACGAGCTGGCGGTGATATCACCACTGTGCAGGTGCCAGACACAGTCAGCTGGCCAGCGGATTAGTTGATTACTTTACAAGATCGCTTATTGGCACTCATTAGACCAGTTTTCTACTAAACAAATTGACACGATTGAACTGTGGTTTGGAAATACAGGTACCGCAGCACCCATTACATGCGTACGCATTCGTAAGACGGCGATAGTCAACGCAGCATGAGCACACCGAGTAATAATAACATTTCGATTTAAAGCTTTCGTGACGGCAGGGATTCATCTTTTTGGTTCTTTCAGTAAAGTCACTTAGAAGGGAAATAATAAAATAATAAAAATAAAACATAATAAAATAATTCTCACGACGTTTCGGCCACAACGCAAGCAGCCGTCCTCCGGTGGAGAACAGGTCTGTCGAGGAGACAGCGTCTGTCTCCTCGACAGCGTCTGTCTCCTCGACAGACCTGTTCTCCACCGGAGGACGGCTGCTTGCGTTGTGGCCGAAACGTCGTGAGAATTATTTTATTATGTTTTCTTTTTATTATTTTATTATTTCCATTCTACGTGACTTTACCGAAAGAACCAAGAAGATGATCTCCAGTTGTTCAGACGCGGCACCAGGAGGGACGAGTCTTCGTCTCGTGACGATGTAATCGTTTGTAAAATCCAAGCACACACGTGTTTGGAGCGGAATGAGTATATTCCAGCGGATGACCAAATAGGAAAATGCGATGGTGCCACCTCCGATTAACACGGTTGGTGACGTACTGTGCGAAAGAAGTTCAAAATACATGCGTACAACAGGCCCTGTATGGGAGTTGGCATTATCGGGGTTCTCCAAGAATGGCAGTGACCTGAGCACAGAGTATGGGATGAAATTGGTTGATTGTGATGCTGTATTCTGGGTAATGTGTACACAGTACGTTTAATTCCACTTTGATTCTCCCCTCCGTGCTTTTCTCTGTCCCTTCTCTTTCTCTGATCTTTCCCTCTGTCCCATTTCGTCTCATCACCCTCCCTTCAATCTACAATTTTCAGGAAAACCAACAAGTAAGTTACCATGAATTTCTCCTGACTCTGTACCTGAACGGCTCAAGTGGAACTAACGGACCTCGATAACGCGGTGCCGCGTGTACCTGTCTGCGTTACGCGTCTTGTGGCTCTCACTGCATGTGCTAACCAACGCCAGTCTCCTCCAGAGCTATGGGTTGTTTTTATTTCGTGCACAAGTGTGTGGTCGGGGTGTGCGCGCGACCACACGCCCCACCACACCGTGCCGCTCTGTGCCGGAGCGTCCGTGCTAGTGCCAACAGCAGCGGCAGCAGCAGCGGCAGCAGCAGCAGCGGCGGCAGCAGCAGCAGCAGCACCCCCCAGAGGGCTCGCTTAGAAACGGGCGCCAATTCCTCTTACGCCACGGTGGGCCTGGCGCCGGTGGTGATGTCAACCCCGCTTGGCTTCCGAGATACGAGATCTTCGTGCGCACGTGCCCGGGTGATTCGGTCGTTGGCTAACCTACATTGGACGGTAAAAGTTCACGATGCCGGACTCCGGCGAGCCCGGATTTTTGGGTAAGCTGGCGAGACCACCGGTATAAAGACATGGATCAATATAGACGTTATGAACTCAGAGCGGCGCGCTGCTGCGTGCGGTAGGGTGCGGTGTAAACGGCTGTGCTAACCTTGCGGGAGGAAATTCTCTTAATCGCTTACGAGGAAGTGTAAGGCACCATCCACAACCTTTGTCATCCACTAAAATGCAACGTGTACGAAAAATGTTAAAGCTCTCAGCATCTTGTGCTGTTCTGTTTTATAGGTTTGGTGCCATTGAACGTACTCTCTTACATCCCGCTTTGATATAATTTTACAAAAATAAAAATATCGTTAACTTTACCATACATCTTCTTGGTTCTTTCGGTAAAGTCACGTAGAATGCAAATAATGAAATAATAAAATAAAACATCATAAAATAATTCTCACGAATTATTAAAATAATAAAAATTAAACATAATCAAATAATTCTCACGAATTATTTTATTATGTTTTATTTTTATTATTTTTTATTTTTATTATTTTATTATTAAAATAATACAACAAAACATAATAAAATAATTCTCACGAATTATTTTATGATGTTTTATTTTTATTATTTTATTATTTCCATTATACGTGACTTTACCGAAAGAACCAAGAAGATGAATCCCTGCAGTCACGAAAGCTTTAAATCGAAACTCTACCGTACAGTTTATTGGGTGTAAGTATCAGCCTCCCCCCCCCCCACTCTGCCTCTTGGTGATGGTGATTGAAATTAAACAGTGCAGGACACAAGTGATAAAAAATTATATATTATTAAACGTAAAATATGAATATTAGAAATACCTACTGATATGTTGTGAAATTATTACGTGCTAATTTAATGTTAGGTGTTCAGTGTAAATTAATGGGAAGAATTTATTATTTAATTGACATTTGGCAGGCATCCCTCATGGCAGGAAAGCCTCTGTCCCACATGAGTCTGGCATTTGGGATTTTACTGGATCGCTGTGGATGCAGACCGGCTAAACGTTTCGCTTGACCAGCTCTGTAAGTCGGCACACGGGAAGCACCAAGTGGCCGCACGCGTAAAACAACTTCAGTGAAAATCGCCCCTTAACTGACCACTGATTTAAATATAAAAATATATACCAGGTGAAATTGTTGCTAGTGGCCCTTGTGACAGATGGCCATTGCCCAAAAAGCGTCACCTGTGAAGAAGAACCGTTACCCGAAACGTCCACCTCTTCTATACTTTATCGTGTGAAGGCCACGGCACTGTTGACGAACGTCATGCGTGCCTGTGCATCACTGCCAATGCGGCAGCATCGCCACCAAGTAATGTGTTGTCTGAGTTACGTGTGCGGGTGAAGGTAATGTTGCACTTCAGTTGTTCCGTGCCTCCCCTGGCCCCAGCACGCGGTGGCGTGGTCGCGGGCACGCGAAGTCTCCCTGTGCAAACCGCACGCGGCCCGTTTATAATTATTGTGGCCGCACAGCCATCTGTGGCTACGCGCTGGCTCCAAACACATTTCTGTGCAACTACCCATAGCTTTCGGACGGGGCTATGCTTGCACGCTGTCGGTGTGCTGCCCATCCGGCCGTGGTCTCGGTGTCTGCGTAATGCATGGCTCGGTGCAGCTCCTGGCAAAACCCATGGCTTCTGGCGGAAGCGGTGCTTTCCATGCTTTGTGCAGGTGTCGGCGAGCGGGTGTGTCACGTGGCCACGCACGCGTGCGTGCGCGTGTTTGTGCGAACACTCTCATCCGCGTACCTGGTCATACGCTGTGCGCGTGGTCGTGCCTGCGGGCGTGCGTACGTGCGTGTGTGTTAACATGGAAACGACGAGGGTGCCATCTCATGAGTGGCGGTGCATTCTGGGTATTGGTCTTGGCGCAGCTAGCGAAATGGTCCCCCCCCCTCCCCGTCCCTTTTCCCACCTGTGCCTTGTGGGTACCCTGGCACAGTTGCGACCGCCAGCGCGCTCGATGGCTCCGCCGCCGGGTTTGAAATGTGGTCGTTGACGTTGCGACGGGTTTGTGTCTCGCGCTGCGCCCCAGTTGTACAGTGACTTTGGGGCGAAGCTCGAACGAGCGTTGAAGATTTGGTCGGGGTTCGGGATGACGCTGACGGGCGTGCACACGTGCGGGGACTACATGTTCAGCGGACACACGGTCATCCTCACCATGCTCAACTTCTTCGTCACCGAGTGTAAGCCGCGCTCTGCTTATCAAATGCACCCTTCGCACATTAATTTCGAATGATAATAATAGTTTCAACGTGTTGGGCGCCGTCAGAGTATTCGATCCCTCTCGAAGACGGAGAACGATTCAGAGTGGTGAGGAGGGAACCGTAGACAAGTGGGAAGGTAGTCACGCGAATGAGCTGGCACCAAAAATGCTCAAGCTCTGCAGTCCTCTACATATTAAGGTGTTACCGGCCAATTAATGAGGGATTGAAAATAGATTTAATTTTTTGGGTCAGATCGCATAAAAAATATAGTGTTTACATGTGGGAGGAAACCGGAGCGTTCGGATAAAACCCCCCACACGTGCGAGGGGGAAACACTCTATCCCATACGGATGGAGCAGGAGGAGTCCACATTTTTGCTTTCGCGCATTCTGGCGAGCCGCGACGCAACATTTGTGCGGCGATCCACCAACCCTCACCTCCAGAGTGCTGGATTGCAGGCCACGTGCATCGCCACCGTCACCGTCACCATCACCGCCCACGTATTGATAATTTCTGATTGACGACGATGACGACGACACCACAGTTAGGAAGCCGGGTGGTCTCTGCCTTTGCGTGCGTGCTGCAGACACGCCCATCACCTGGCACTACCTGCACACGCTCTCCTGGGTGCTCAACCTCTTTGGCATCTTCTTCATCCTGGCGGCCCACGAGCACTACACCATCGACGTGGTGGTGGCCTTCTACCTGACGACGCGACTCTTCCTCTACTACCACACGCTGGCGGCCGCGGGCACCTCCCGCCACTCGCGCCGCGCCCGCGTCTGGTTCCCCATGTTCTACTTCTGCGAGTGCCGCGTCGACGGGCCCGTGCCCAACCAGTACCACTACCCCCAGTTCGTGTCTGCGGTGCGAGCCAAGGTGGGGCTCTAGGATGCGGCACCCGGGCCCGCGTCCCCCTCCCCCGCCACCGGTGGCCCCGCACTCGCGATTGGCACGGTTGGCTACGTACGGTGCGAAAGAAGTTCAACGTGCACACGTACGTTCGCGCCGTTCCTGTGAGCCAAGGTGGGACTGGAGGCCGACGCGACACCGGCTTGCGGGGCCCGTGCTGGAGCCGCGCTTGCGAGACAGCCACACTACTGCAGTCTCCCACCGTGCACTTGAAGGGCTCAGACTGATAGAAACACGAACAGCTGTGACTGTGGTCGCCGTGGCTTCGCTTGAAATGCCACGACGCGTGGTTGTTTTCTCTCCGCTGTTTTCGCGCGGAACGACATTCAAACAGACCAGACAACTGAACGGATATCTCCTGAGTTCACGAAGATACTCTGCACGTCGTCAGCGTCAACATACATCGGGGCCCGATTAACCGTGGTGCCATTGTGACTCTCATGGGTGGGCACCAATTCTGTACAGGGACCCCCAAACATGATGGTTATGGCTGGTGGGCCTTAAAGTGGCTATTGCTACCACTGCCTTCTCACGGAGAGGTCAATCTCGCTCTAGGGGAGTCCCGTAGACTGCACGCCAGGGCCCCTTCGTGACGCGTCAAGCCTGGCCCTGGCTACCACTGTAGCAGCAGCAGCACCCACGTGCCATGGATCGTGACGCGCCACTGCTCTACGTGGCGAATGAGAGCGGAGACGTCACTATTCTGGTGGTGAAATATATACGCGCACACACGTATGTGTGTGCGTAAGTGGGCGTGTAATTTTATTTTCCGTAGTTTCGTGTTTACAAAAAGACCCTTTGACAGTTTGGTGTGCGATTCAAACTCTAGGATTGAATATGACAGGTTGCTTTGAGGAAGGCTGCCTTCAAGGTGACGTATATATGATGCTTAGTTCTTTGTGGTAAAGCAATAAGCAAATAACGGAATGTTTGATTAAGTGTTAAAAAATACACTTTACATTTACACTGATGACTCTTTTTAGATTTCAGTTTCCCCGCAAATTGGTATGGTTTGTTTTATCGGAGACTTTTTAATCACTCACAGGTGTTATTATTTCTCATCGCATGTGTTCACATTTAATTCATTGTTATTACATTTCTTTACCTTGTGCCAATGAGCGCACCAGACTTTGTCGATCGGCAGGTCGCGCGCGATGGAGCAATGTGTGGGTACGACCCACCTCTTTCAAGACATCCGTGTGACCGGCGGGGAAAAGTAGGCCAAAAGCACTCTCTGATGCCTCCTCTTCGTGGGGAACCTTCTGCTAGCAGTGGTGTGAGCGAGGAATTGCAGAGCGACATTTTTAACTTTTATTTTTACTGTGCGTAACTGGGCAGCCGCATCAACAATACCCATTAAGTTTGCTACATTTTCCACTCGTTGAGTTATGAACATTCGTAAGTTTCTACCTCTTATACTCTGCAAAGTTCTCTATTACCTCTCATTATTGTCACATCCTTCTACTTATATGACTGACCTGATGTTTGATTTTGTTCGTCATATTGCTGGATGTTGGCCTTGCAACCCCGACGTCACATTTGGTATCCCTTGGCGCGCGGCATTTGAAACGATGGAGCAAATTTTCAAAAAATTAAAAAATGTAAAAAATTTCAAAATTTTAACAAATTTCTAAATTTTTTAAAATTTCAAAGATGTCCCCCCGCACTTCGGTCCACCCAGCAGTATGATTGCGAACGCTACGGTTAGTCGATGGGCAGGTCGCTGCGGGAGGGTACGGCCGCTTCAAAGACCGCTTGCCAGCGTGGAAGAGTCGGTCAAATATTTCCCAGAGGGGCCTCTGTAGAGCTTCCTCTAGTGGAGGCCCTCTCCCCTAGCAGTGGTGTGAGCAGGCAAATCGCAGGGCTGCACCTTATTTAAATGTATTGTTGGACTTTGATTTCATCTTTTATTCACATTTCAAGTGTGCTCCCGGCATCACCGAGGCACGAAGCCAACAAACGTCCCGGCACGACTCCCGCAGCGAGCGACACGCCATCACGGCACCGACTGTTGAAGGCGTCTCCGTGGCGAAACTATTTTCAGCATCGTCGTGTGGTGGTGTGGTAATGCCGCGTCATTAGCGGGATGATGCATGCCATTTGTATTCAACGTTTCTTTTATGGCCTCGGTGCTAGGCCGTACTGAATTGAGTGGCAAAAAAACGTGTGTATATTTTTTTGTATGCTAATTGGTGACCGAGTCGAGACTTTCAACTTTCTTCGCTTAAGAACTTGGTTTTATTTTGGGATGTGGGGGGGATGTGGGGGGAGGGGGTGGGGGGGATGTGGGGGGAGGGGGTGGGTGGGAAGGTGGGGGGAGTGGGTGGGAATGTGGGGGGAGGGGGACATTGTGAGGGCAGTGAAGGCCCCTGACCAGTTTGTGAAGCCAGGATCTCGTCAGTGCTGCCCCATGAGCCATTGGACTGCGTTTTCTTGAGCGTCCCTCTTAGCAAAAGGATATGAGGCTGATTAAAAAAAACCGTAAGTCACGTAGAGATTTAGACTGATAAAAGGAAGAGGGCAGAGTCGGTTGTGATAATGCTGGTGTGGTGGTTAAATATTTGATACCAAATCATACAGACTTACATTTGGTGACCTAAAGAGAATCTGAAAATATTTGAGTTGTGAGAATTCACATCATCGATATAAGGGGGCCGGGGATGCTGCCGCAGTGTAACGGTGTAACGGTCAACACACCGGACTTACAATCCGGAGGTCACCGGTTGAATTCGATCTCCCGGCGCGGGAGTTGAAACAACGGTGCGACGTTTTTTTTTAAAATCCACCGCGCCCCTGTCCACCCAGTAGCATATAAATGGGTGACACCACAGTTGATTGATCGGCGGGTCGTGTGTGGTGGGGTAAAGTGTGGGTCGCCCCACCTCTTCCAAGACGTCTGGTCGGTTGTGCAAGAGTCGGTCTCTTAGAGCAGCGGTCCCCAACCCCCGGGCCACGTGGCCTGTTGGGAATCAGGCCGCACAGCAGCAGGAGGTGAGAGCGGTGAGTCCGTGCGTGGCCCGCACCCATTATTTTATTTACCACTTCCATCCACGCTTCTTTGCCGCACTGCGCACTTGTCACAGTATTGGTAAGCCCACAAGCTCTAGCCCCTAGTAGCCAAAATGAGTAAAAAAACAAACGTCCCTGGAGAGCTTTTTTGAAAATGTGGAAATACCCAATGATGACCCCCCCCCCCCTCCCCCGGTCCGTGAAAAAAATTGTCTTCCACGAAACCGGTCCCTGGTGCCAAAAATGTTGGGGACCGCTCTCTTAGAGGTTTCTCTATCAGGCCCTTCCACCAGCAGGGGGCTGCATGGCCTCAATCGCACCGCTGTGGCTCGTCTTTAATGTTCCATTCATGAAGGAGATGTACCCATCGGCCTGCCGGTGATGTTCTGCTTCGGTGTTTTCGAGCAGGAATGCCAAGAGCCTGGAGGTGTGCGATGTTTGGGTCTTGAGCGTAACAACATCGACGGCCAGAATTAGACACCCCATTGGAGCACTGGCTTTGTCCATCCGCACGTTTCCTGAATGTGGGAAACCCGCAGAGGAGAGAGTTTGTGGCTCGACCCAAACTGGATCCTCTCCTCTCAGAATTCCTTGGACCCGTGGATCGCGCAGAGCAACGTGGGACGATGCAGCGTGCAGTGGGGAACCACCGCAGGTCGCCCTGGAGTGCAATGTGAAATAGGTCGCGTGTGAAAACTATGCAATCGGTGTACAATGGGTGTTTACTGCAGCGCATGGTGACACAATGTAGCGCGGAGATTTGGTGCTCGTTAGGTTTTTGTATTGGTGAAAAATAATGGCACCTGAGGAACAAGCGCTAAAAATTTTCAAGGGCATGGATTCCAGAAAAATAATTCAAATAGCCGCAACGCAAACTTTGGGGTCATTTTGGAAAAAAGTAGATTTTATTTACGGGAGAATACGGTACTGTGGAGAGCCAACTTCCAGAAGATTTGGAATGCGCCCCTTGAAAATGGGGGATTGGTGTCTCCTGGAAGATGAATCTCAACAGCTGATGGTGTCTTCTGTTCTCTGGGTGGTCATGTGTTGCTATGGACAATTGTCTTCCGGGAAATTAATGAGAACAGCTGTTGTTAAAACACGACATCCAGAGGACGATGTCTTCCCCGGATTTATAAGACACACTGCCAACTTTTCATTTAAAATACAGGGAGAGAGAAAAAAAAATCCTTGCATCTTGTCATCGAATAAATATATATTGCTTATCAATAATAATCTCCAGCTGAATAATCGGAACTTTTCCTTTGCCACAATTTTACAAGTGAACGTTTGCTACCACGTGACCTGCAGCTGTTTGACAGCGAGCCCTTTACACAGAAAGGCCCCGACTGAGTCTCAATCTCAAGGCTCTCTCCGGGTAGGGGGTGGCTGCTTCACAGATGTCTGCTTGATTACGCGTTGAGAGCCTTTGTATGGAGCACGTGTGGAGAGCCAGGCACCTGCATAGACCACGTGTGGGGAGCCAGGCACCTGTATAGAGCACGTGTGGAGAGCCAGGCACCTGTATGGAGCACGTGTGGAGAGCCAGGCACCTGCATAGACCACGTGTGGGGAGCCAGGCACCTGTATAGAGCACGTGTGGGGAGCCAGGCACCTGTATAGAGCACGTGTGGGGAGCCAGGCACCTGTATGGAGCACGTGTGGAGAGCCAGGCACCTGTATGGAGCACGTGTGGAGAGCCAGGCACCTGCATAGACCACGTGTGGGGAGCCAGGCACCTGTATAGACCACGTGTGGGGAGCCAGGCACCTGTATGGAGCACGTGTGGGGAGCCAGGCACCTGTATGGAGCACGTGTGGAGAGCCAGGCACCTGTATGGACCACGTGTGGAGAGCCAGGCACCTGTATAGACCACGTGTGGAGAGCCAGGCACCTGTATGGAGCACGTGTGGGGAGCCAGGCACCTGTATGGAGCACGTGTGGGGAGCCAGGCACCTGTATGGAGCACGTGTGGGGAGCCAGGCACCTGTATGGAGCACATGTGGGGAGCCAGGCACCTGTATGGAGCACGTGTGGGGAGCCAGGCACCTGTATGGAGCACGTGTGGAGAGCCAGGCACCTGTATGGACCACGTGTGGAGAGCCAGGCACCTGTATAGACCACGTGTGGAGAGCCAGGCACCTGTATGGAGCACGTGTGGAGAGCCAGGCACCTGTATAGACCACGTGTGGAGAGCCAGGCAGCTGTATAGAGCACGTGTGGAGAGCCAGGCACCTGTATAGACCACGTGTGGGGAGCCAGGCACCTGTATAGAGCACGTGTGGAGAGCCAGGCACCTGTATGGAGCACGTGTGGGGAGCCAGGCACCTGTATGGACCACGTGTGGAGAGCCAGGCACCTGTATAGAGCACGTGTGGAGAGCCAGGCAGCTGTATAGACCACGTGTGGGGAGCCAGGCACCTGTATGGAGCACGTGTGGGGAGCCAGGCACCTGTATAGAGCACGTGTGGAGAGCCAGGCACCTGTATAGACCACGTGTGGAGAGCCAGGCACCTGTATAGAGCACGTGTGGAGAGCCAGGCACCTGTATAGAGCACGTGTGGGGAGCCAGGCACCTGTATAGAGCACGTGTGGGGAGCCAGGCACCTGTATAGAGCACGTGTGGGGAGCCAGGCACCTGTATGGACCACGTGTGGAGAGCCAGGCACCTGTATGGAGCACGTGTGGAGAGCCAGGCACCTGTATGGACCACGTGTGGGGAGCCAGGCACCTGTATGGAGCACGTGTGGGGAGCCAGGCACCTGTATGGAGCACGTGTGGAGAGCCAGGCACCTGTATGGAGCACGTGTGGGGAGCCAGGCACCTGTATAGACCACGTGTGGAGAGCCAGGCACCTGTATGGAACACGTGTGGGGAGCCAGGCACCTGTATAGACCACGTGGAGCTTCCACGAGTGGCTATGGGAGGAGCTCGCGAAGCCGAGCGCCGGTCCGTTGCCGATTTGAGCGGAGAGACGTTGCCACTTTGCGACTTTTGGGTGCGAACGCGAACGCGGAGGGACGGCGCGGAAAACCTCCTCGCCCGTGAGAAATCCGTGCCCAGCGTGTGACGAATGGAAGAGTTTCTCGAAATGTGGATTTCTAAAATCCCCTTTGGTGTGGAGTTATAGGGCCTGTCTATGCATTGTAAAACCAACACGGTTGAGAAAATCTACACTCCCCCCGCCCGCCCGCCCCTTGAAATGTCCGCACAATGTTTGTGATGTGGTGGGAGTTTTTTTAAATCCATAAGTGAAAGCCTACGTGTTAAAGTGTTATTTGTATTATGATCGCACAAATAAAGGCAGTAGGTGTGGAGTGATACGAGGTGCCTATGACCAAATCACCTCGTGTTGTACCTGGTCTCTTCAGATCTCGCAAGCCAAGCAGGCTTGAGCCTGGATAGCACTTGGGATTGTTGTCCACGTTTAGATCGATGCCCTTCCCCCGCACCTTCCGATTAACGCGGTTGTTTACGCACGGTGCAAAAGAAGTTCAAGCAGGTGTCATTGGCTCCTGCTTGGCTACGTGGGCAGTGCATACACATACACATTGTTGTACTCTACTTCTGTGCTCCCCTACCTTTACCAACCTGCACTGCCTAGCACGGTGAGATCTGGCGAGATAACCCCCAGGACTTGCACAGCTGTGTGTGGATGCCCTGATCCAGCAGATTGACAACAGCAGGGATGTAGCACGTGCACTACACACGTGTAGTGTGTAGTGTGGCACGTCTTGGTTCTTTCGGTAAAGTCACGTATAAGGAAAATAATAAAATAATAAAAATAAAACAATAAAATAATTCTCACGACGTTTCGGCCACAACGCAAGCAGCCGTCTTCAGGTGGAGAGCAGGTCTGTCGAGAGACAGCGTCTGAATGAATTCAAACTCTGTCTCTCGACAGAATTCAGACTCTGTCTCTCGAAACGTCGTGGCCGAAACGTCGTGAGAATTATTTTATTATGTTTTATTATTATTATTTTCCTTCTACGTGACTTTACCGAAAGAACCAAGAAGATGAATCCCTGCAGTCACGAAAGCTTTAAATCGAAATTTAGTGTGGCACGATTAGATCGTTGGTGGTGGTTGTGGTTAGGTTGTGGTCATGTTGTCATTACGTTGTGGTTATCACAGCTGTCAACCCACACGGTTTAATCCCGTCTTCTTGCACGTGGAAATTGAGTTTTCAGGTCCATACGGCGTAC